TTTTTTTGAGATGGAGTTTTGCTGTTGTTGCCCAGGCTGGAGTGCAATGGCGCGATCTCAGCTCACTGCAACCTCTGACTCCCGAGTTCAAGCGATTCTCCTGCTTCAGCCTCATGAGCAGCTGGGATTACAGATGCCTGCCACCACGCCCGGCTCAAAAATTTACTTTTATTTTTAACATGCCTTCGACAAGGATGCACACCAAAGTGAAATAATTATGAGATTGTTTCTTATGACAGCTGAAGTAAAACAAAGGATAAAAACTATAAATGACACAGCATCATTTTATATTGGCATCAACAGATGTGGGGTAGTCCCAGCTCTGCCACTCCCAACTGGGTAGCCTTGGGGAGATCATTCATTTTTCTGAGCCACAGCTAAGCACTCTCCATGCGGTGCTAGATTTCAGAGATCCAGCTTTCTAGATCCGATGGGTCTAGTGGTGGGAAGGTGGTATGTGTGCTTCAAAGAAAGCAAGTACAGGGCAATGTGCTAAAAGAAAAACCACCAAGACTCACTCAAGCTTAACGCTCTTTGTACCATTAGCAACATGACACAGAAAAGGCTGCATATAAGGCCTCTGTCGTGTGCATAACTTTGGCTTTAACGAGCCACCCCAGCAAAGAGTACCATGAAGGTGAAATCTGGAAACAAGCAGGAGCCCCCAACCCTCTACAAAATCACCCTACAGCTTCTCAAACTCAAGAGAGATGGAAAACAGTAAGAGGACACTCAGAGAAAGGCAACATTTGGCCACAAGGATGAGGCTTTTCAGCCTAGACCTGCAGTAGCAGAGTATGGTCCAATGCACAGCGGGGAACTTGGACCTTTTCACCGAATCCCGGTGCCTGAATCCTTCAGGAGGGAGCGTGGAGATATCTAACAGGAGGCGCTTCTGACAGGCGGTGCAATGAACATCTGGAATGCATCACAGCCAGGGAATAGCACAGAGAGGATATAAGCCCTTCAAGATGGCTCAAAAGACCTTGGGGTTGATGAACTATGCTGTTACTAAGCACTGTTTGGGGTACACTGATCATTGTTAGGGTGAAAAGCAGGTGATACAGTCCAGTCCTGTCCTCAGACTACACAATTTTTACTGGAGACAAGACTGGGCAGGATAAACTACGGGGCCCATAGGACCCTCCCATAGTCTGCTGTCTATCTGGCCGGAAAGCACGATGATGCACAAAGCAACCTTGCCTTTGTCAGGCACACTTATAATGGTTCCAAGAGCCAAATTCCAACTGTTGTACTGAGGGTGGCAATGGGACGGTCTTCCGATTACCTAAAATCCCCTTCTTCTCCGATACACATCCGATTACCATACAACTCTAAAATACCTTTTAAATCCTAGTCATATGAAAAGTTCCTTTTTTTCTCCATTAATCAGTCTGCCCCAAAGAAGCTTTTCCGTCTCTCGCAGACTCTCAGAAGGGGCCAGCTAACTGTGATACCTAGCACCCTTATCTTTTCTCCATACACAGCGTCCTTCCTCCAGCAGAATCCGAAAATAGCAGCAGTCCGGATTAACATGGCTGTGAGGAGTAGGTGCTTAGCTGAATAACATCAGAATTAATGAGGGGCCGGACCCCAAACAGAGCCACCTGGTGGGCATGAACACCAGGCAGCTATGGGGCCGCTTCCTTCAACCAAGTGTCTGGTCCCTGGCTCTCTCTGCTTCAGCACACATTCTGCCCCCCACCGAGGCCTGAAGGGCCAGCGCGCAGCGCCCTCACCTTTCAGCAGGTCCGGGTGCACATAGCCCAACACGTCCGAGACCCCCAGCTCCTGGCGCGAACAGGTGCCTCCGTGGATGTGCAACCAGGCGGGCTCGGCGAGGGCAGTGCACAGCGCCGTGATGGACAGGGCGCCAGGCAAGGCCGAGGCCAGGCTACGCTCCGGCTGCTTGGGCAGAGCGCTGCCTCCCTGAAGTTATGACAAAAAGCACAGCTTTGGCTGGGCTTGTGATAAAACTCAACTAGAACAGGGAGGTGATAAGCCTCGGGCAGCTTTGATGGGAAGTAAACTCGGAGGTCACTAAGGTGTTGCGGTAAGAGTATGGACTTCGGAGTCATTGTCCACTCGGATTAGCTGAGCAAACCACCCAGCCTCCCGGAACTGGGAGCTTTGTGAAGTGGGGCTGATGACAGTACCAAACAGAGCTGCTGTTTAGGAGGAAAACGCGGGCCTGGCGTGTGCTTAGCGTAATGTCAAAGTGTGGCACTCAGGCAGGGGCTGAGAAAGGGTAAGGCTGCTCCAGGGCCTGCTGGCTGCCTGACTCCCATCACCTGCAGAGACCTGCAGGGCCTGTTCTCCCTCTGGAAGTATCTATACGCGTCCGGGAGCGGTGGCTCACGCCTGTAATCTCAGCACTTTAGGAAGCCAAGGCGGGTGGATCACTTGAGGTCAGGAGTTTAAGATCAGCCGGGTCAACAAGATGAAACCTTATCTCTACTAAAAATACAAAAATTAGCCGGGTGTGGTGGAGCACCTGTAATTCCAGCTACTCGTGAGGCTGAGACAGGAGAATCATGTGAACCCAGGAGGCAGAGGTTGTAGTGAGCCGAGATGGCACCACTGCACTCCAGCCTGGGTGACAGAGCAAGACTCTGTCTCAAAAAAAAAAAATCTATATGCACCACATCTGTGCTTGACAGCTCTGCTCCCTCCTGAGATGTGGAATACTCCAGGCTCCCAGGTCAGGACATCTGTTAGGCCCTGAAGATCACACAGTCACACGGGATACTACATGTCTGAAGACCCACTGGGTATCAAAAAGCCAGTAGGTACAAAGAAAAGGGAGAGAAGATGCAATCAGGGGCCTCCGTGATTCTTCTGTGATAGCTCATGAGGTGCCACTGCCAACTCTCCTATTCATGGGCGCAAAGTGCTCCTAGGAGACAGCCACAGGCAAGCGAGTGGAAACTACACACGGGTTCAGATCTCTAAATATGTGAGTAAACGTAACAAAAAAGGTTAAGAAAACATGCTTTGCAAAAGACAAAACGGAGCCTGAATAATTTCTTTCTTTTTTCTTTTTTTTTGAGATGGAGTCTCATTCTGTAGCCCAGGCTGGAGTGCAGTAGTATGATCTGGGCTCACTGCAACATCACGTCCCGGGTTCAAGCGATTCTCTTGCCACAGCCTCCTGAGTAGTTGAGGCACCAGCCACCAGGCCTAGCTAATTTTTGTATTTTTAGTTGTGATGGGGTTTCACCATGTTGGCCAAGCTGATCTTGAACTCCTGACCTCAGGCGATCTGTCCGCCTCGGCCTCCCAAAGTAGTGGGATTCCAGATGTGAGCCATCATGCCTGGCCTGGCCTGAATAATTTCTTAGAAAGGGTAAATACACATGTGAACAAAGAAGAACCTGCACCAAGAATTTACTTTTTTTTTTTTTTTTTTTTGAGATGGAGTCTTGCTCTGCTCTGTTGCCCAGGCTGGAGCGCAGTGGTATGATCTCAGGCTCATTGCAATTCCTCTGCTTCCGGGGTTCAAGCGATTCTCCTGCCTCAGCCTTCAGAGTATCTGGGACTACAGGCGTACGCCACCACACCCGGCTCATTTTTGTATTTTTAGTAGAGACAGGGTTTCTTTCACCATGTTAGCCAGGCTGGCTCAAACTCTTGACCTCAGGCAATCTACCCACCTCGGCCTCCCAAAGTGCTGGGATCAGAAGCATGAGCCACCGCACCTGGCCCTTTTTTTTTTTTTTTTTTGAGATGGAGTTTTGCTGTTGTTGCCCAGGCTGGAGTGCAATGGCGCGATCTCAGCTCACTGCAACCTCTGACTCCCGAGTT